AAGGCCCATATGACATAGTGGATTGTCTCTCAGACGTGACTTTCCGGATAAAATGTGGTCGGCGAGGTAAGCCAAAAGTGGTGCATGCCAACAGACTTTGGCGTTATCACAGTCCAGGACATTTTAGTTGGGATGAAGTGGACAACAGAACAAATGACGCTGCTTAAGACGTGCCACCTGAAGAAGCCACCATCGAAGAAGAAACTCTACTCAGTTTTGAGAAGGGAAACGGTGAAGCTCTTGATGAAGTTACTACCACTGATGTGATTGCTACCGACGATAGGACATTTACTGATGAAGCAGATGAACCCCACATGAAGCAGAAGCCAACGAGACGGAGACCAGTACAGAAGAAGATACGTACCGTAAAATTAAGAGACTTTGTTGAATTGTAATTTTGTGATTGTAATTCTGTACATTTAATTAAGTTATTGTTAATTGTTATTGGTTTATTGTAAGTGGCTATTGTTCGGGACGAACAATACTAAGGAAGGGGCAGTGTTGCGTCAGCAGGGTCACGTGACTATTGTCACGCCGCCTATTTTCTGGAAGTATCTTGTTCCCTCGTGAATGCCCTAGCATTTAATAGATATATGTTTTTCTGGTATAAAAATAGGACGCTCACAACGTGACAATAGTGTGTGTAGGTAGTGAGTAATTGAACTGCAGTCGGAAGTGTTGTTGAAGTTAACGTTCGTTGTTAAAACGTTTGTAAAAGAGCGACTGTTCTGTATCGGTAAAGTTATATTCAGAAAGAATAAACCAGTTTTATTAAGTAAGGACTTGTGTCGCTAAAGTTTCGTCGGAACGAAGTTACGGAAAATCAATTAACAAATGGAGACGTAACAATATGTAAGTACTTTAACAGACAGTCCAGTAGATAGTCTGACTTGTATTTGTGTGAACTAAATAGATTGTATATGTAATACTTTAACAGACAATTTATTTCATAGTGTTTTATTTGTATTTATGTGAACTAAAGAGATTGTATGTGTAAGTACTTGAACAGACAGTCTATTTGATAATGTTTGGTTTGTATTGGGTGTCAACATAGTAGATTGTATATGTAAGTACTTTAATATCAGTAATAGAACGTGACATTTTGTATTATTTTTAGCACTATAAACGTAAGGTATCATTTTCCATATTGTCTTAAAGTTTTATGAATTTAGTAAAGTTTTATTTTATTTCTAAGACTCTGGTGTCACAGTTCAGCATAGTTTGTGCTGACCTAGAACTTATTGGTATTTACTGTGAAAGTTTAATGAAGAGTTATTTTAACACTGTTATATAAAGTTTTATTATAGGACGTTGTGTAGGGAGAATGTATCGTTTTGTTACATATAGCTGTGGGTGTGAGAAAATGCAGGTTTATTAATGAATTTCTTTTTCTTTGAACTTTCATAAACCAAACTTTAGCTTGTAAGGTAATTAACCGAATAAGATTAGGTTTTTTAGTTCTTCACTTTCCTCTGTTAGTGTATGTATTCTCTCAACTCAAGGTGTATGTGTTTACATTAATTTCCTATAAGTAGTTCTTTCTTAGAGTTAAAGAGTGGTTAGAGCTTAATCATGTTTTTACCCATTTCAATATTCGTTGGAATGAGTTGTTTTGTCAGTCGTGTTTCTGGAAGCAGGAAACCTTATTATCACCTCTAGCAGTTGTAGGAGTACCATTACGTTCTCTTGCCGACTCCAGCAGCTGTTGGAGTATCAGTACACCTGTCATCGACACCAACAGAAGATGTAGTACCAGTACATCTGATATCGGCACCAATAGCTGTTGGAGTATCAGTACACCTGTGATGGACACCAACAGAAGTTGGAGTACCAGTACATCCTGATATTGGTACTAATAGCTGTTGGAGTATCAGTACACCTGTGGTGGACACCAACAGAAGTTGGAGTACAGTACATCTGATATTGGCACTAATAGCTGTTGGAGTATCAGTACACCTGCCATCGACACCAACAGAAGATGTAGTACCAGTACATCTGATATCGGCACCAATAGCTGTTGGAGTATCAGTACACCTGTGATGGACACCAAGAGAAGTTGGAGTACAATTACATCCTGTCATTGGCATCAGCAGCTGTTGAAGTACAAGTACATACTTTTATCGACACTAGCCGTTGTTGGAGTACCAGAGCATTCTCTTATCGACACCAACAGTTGTTGGAGTACCATGACATCCTGTTATCGACCCCAACAGCTGTTAAAGTACCAATAAATTCTATTTTGATTACCAACAACTGTTGGATTACCAAAAAACATTCAGTAAATAATTCTAAGAAATGAAAGCAAAGAATAATATACAACAATACATCAACCATACTATATCTGCTACATCCAAGCCAACAAAGCTTTTGTTCATCAGGCCGGCTGAGACATAAACAATGTAGTGTTGGATGAACAGCAGCTGTAAGTTTTATCACTTTTATAGGAGTCATTTACAAATCAGAATTAGGTTATGGATTAATAATAACAAGCTTATTCATTTATTTTTTATTTCACTTAACTTTACTCGTCATTCAAAGGAAATATCAGCAAGCTGATCTTATGTTCTTGTCTTCTCTCAGATTAGCTAATATTCCAGCCCTAGTGATCGCTGGACTCACCCCTGATGGTGATGTTTACCGTCAAGTCAAAGATGGAGAACACTTTGAAAATGGAAGAACTCACCTCCTTCCTACTTCAAATACTAGCCATCCTGGTAGGTCTATTTGATGGTTATTTTTAAACGTGTCTTCCTTCTCATTGTAATGTAGTTGCAAAATAGCACCTCCTGGGGGAGAACACCATTTGTTATTGTATTCCCCTGACAAATATTTAGAGAAATGATCTTCGCGGGGCGTGCAAAGGATTATGATATTGGAATTATGCTAGATTTACCTAAGTTAAAAAAACCTGTACAAACTAGAAATATTAGGAAAGATAGAATAAACTATGATTTACAACACAAAAAGTTATTAATGATATCTCCGTTGTTTTCGACAATATAAAGATTTATCATAAATCAGAAATAGATAACTTAACGCAAATATCCGTTTAATTCGTTTACAGTCCGATTCATCAGTATTTTTACAAATATATCCTTATATTGTGTCTTATTCTTCGATATATTTGGTGTCTCCGCTAAAATCCGGGGTTCGATTCCCCGTTGTGAATATATAGGACAGCCCAATGCGGCTTGGCTCCAAGACAAACAATCACTTTTGAGTTTACAGAATTTCTACACTACCTTAACCTTATTGTATAAAATATAACTCCAAAATTCGGTAAAAACATTCCCATCATCCCTTAAAACATCAAATCCCAATCCAAAAACAAATTTTAAGTACATTAGGATAGTATATTGTTCCTCGATGAAGGCTCCGGCCAGAGGGCCCAAAAGCTTGCAAACATAAGTATTGTACCGTATATAATTCAGCTCTTACCACTTTGAAGAATGTGTAGAAGTTACATTCAGAGCTAGTTTTAGCAAACAGGAGCATTTACCTAGTTGATTAACGTGCAGAATTTCCATTATGAGCTAGTTCCACCTAAAAGGGGTCTATAGTAAGTCGACATACGTGTAGAAGTTTCATTCAGAGCTAGTTCCAGGTAAAAGGAGAATTACCAAGGTTATGTACGTGTAGAAGTTGTATTTGAAGTTAGTTCCATCTAACAAGGGTCTATATCAAGTTGATGTACGTGTAGAAGTTTCTTTCGAAGCTATTTACACATAACAAGAGTCTATATAACAAGCTGAGATACGTGTCGAAGTTTCACTCAAAGCTATTTCCATCTAACAAGAGACCCTAATAAAATTTACGTACGTGTAGAAGTTTCATTGAGAGCTTTTTACCCCTAACAAGAGTTCCTTTGGAGTTGATGTACGTGCAGAAGATTCATTCAGAGCTATTTTCAGGTAAAAGGAGCTCTTACCAAGTTGACATACGTGTAGAAGTTTAATTCAGAGGTAGTTTCAGCTAACAGGAGCCCTTACCAACATCATGTACGTTTAGAAGATTCATTCGAAGCTAGTTCCATCTAACAACGGTCTATATCAAGTTGATGTACGTGTAGAAGTTTCACTCGAAGCTATTTCTATTTAAAAAGTGTATATATCAAGTTGATATACATATAGAAGTTTCATTCAGAGTTAGTTTCAGGTAAAAGGAGCGGTTACCAAGTTCACGTACATTTAAAAGTTTCATTCCAAGTCCCACTTAACAAGGGTCTATCTCAAATTGATGAACGTGTAGAAGTTTCATTCAGAGCTTGTTCCACGGAACAATGGTCTATATCAAGTTGATGCACGTGTAGAAATTTCATTAGAAGCTAGTTCCCCATACCAAGGGTTTATATAGGGTTGACGTACATTTAGAAGCTTCATTCAAAGCTAGCTCCAGCTAAAAGGAGCACTTACTACGTTGATGAACGTGTAGAAGTTTCAATCAGAGCCAGTTCCAGTTAACAGGAGCCCTTACCAAGTTGATGAACGTGTAGAAATTTCATTCGAAGATTGTCCCACCTAACAAGGGTCTGTATCAACTTGATATACGTATAGAAGTTTCATTCGAAGTTAGTTCCATCTAAAAAGGGTATATATCAAGTTGATACATATAGAAATTTTACTTAGAGTTAGTTTCAGGTAAACGGAGCACTTACTACGTTGATAAACGTGCAAACGTTTCATTCAGAGATTGTCCCATCTAAAAATGGTCTATATCAAGTTGATGTACGTGTAGACGTTTCATTCGAATCAAGTTCTATCTAACAAGAGATCCTAATAAGTTTACGTATGCATAGAAGTTTCATTGAGACATATTTCCACCTAATGATAGTACTTTTGAAGGTGATGTACCTGCAGAAGTTTCATTCAGAGCTAGTGTCGGGTAAAAGGGGCACTTACCAAGTTGTCGTACGTGTAGAAGTTTCATTTAGAGTTAGTTTCAGGTAAAAGGAGCACTTACTAAGTTCACGTACGTGTAGAAGTTTCATTCAGAGCTAATTCCAGTTAACAGAAGCCCTTATCAAGATCATGTACATTTAGAAGTTTCAGTCCAAGCTACTTACACCTAACAACAGTCCGTAATAAGATGATGAACGTGTAGAAGTTTCATTCGAAGCCAGTTCTACCTAAAGAGGGTCAAAATCAAATTCATGTGGTTGTAGAAATTTCATTCCAAGCTAGTTCTATCTAACAAGGCTCTATATCACGTTGATGTACGTACAGAAGTGTCATTGTAAGCTAGTTCCCTCTAAAAAGGTATATATCAAATTGAAATACATATATAAGTTTCATTCAGACTACTTCCACCTAAGAAGAGCACTTACTAAGTTGATGAACATGCAGAAGTTTCATTCATAGCTACTTATACCTAACAACAGTCCGTAATAAGATCATGAACGTCTAGAAGTTTCATTCGAAGCTAGTTCCACCTAAAAAGGGTCTATATCAAGTTCACTAGTTTCACCTAACAATGGTCTATGTCAGGTTGATGTATGTGTAGAAGATTCATTCTAAGCTAGTTCCATCAAACACTGGTCTATATGAAGGCGATGTACGTTTAGAAGATTCATTCGAAGTTAGTTCCAGCTAGCAATGGTCTATATCAATTTGATATACATATAGAAGTTTCAATCGAAACTAGTTCCATCTAAAAAGGGTACATATTAGGTTGATGTACATGTAGAACTTTTGTTCGAAGCTATTACACCTAACAACGGTCTATATGAAATTGATGTACGTGTAGAAGATTCATTCGAAGCTAGTTCCACCTATAAAGGGTCTGTATCAAATTGATGTACGTGTAGAAGTTTCATACAGAGCTTCTTCCACCGAACAAAGGTGTATATCAAGTTTATGCACATGTATAAGTTTCATTCAGAGCTAGCTCCAGCTAAGAAGAGTATCTTTCAAGTTGATCTACATGTAGAAGTTTTATTCCAAGATTGTCCCACCTGACAAGGGTCTATATCAACCTGGTATACGTATAAAAGTTTTATTCGAAGCTAGTTCCACCATAAGAGTCTATATCAAGTTGATGCACGTGTAGAAGTTTCATTCAGAGCTATCTCCAGCTAACCAGAGTACCTTACAAGTTGACATACGTGTAGAAATTTCATTCAGAGAGAATACCACCTAACAACGGTGTATATAAAGTTGACATACGTATAGAAGTTTCATTTAGAGCTAGCTGCAGCTTAAAAGGAGCACTTACTACGTTGATGAACGTGCAGAAATTTCATTCAGAGCTTGTTCCACCTAAAAATGGTCTATATCAAGTTGATGCAAATGTACAAGTTTTATTCGAAGCTTGTTCCACCATAAGAGTTTATATCAAGTTGATGCACGTATAGAAGTTTCATTCAGAGCTATCTCCAGCTAACAAGAGTATTTTACAAGTGGACGTACGTGTAGAAATTTCATTCAGAGCGAATACCACCTAATAAGGGTGTATATAAAGTTGACATATATTTAGAAGTTTCATTCAGAGCTATTTCCAGCTAACAGGAGCACTTACTACGTTGATGAACGTGCAAAAGCTTCATTCGAAGTTCTTTCCATCTAACAAGGGTCTATATGAAGTTAGTTGATGTACTTATAGAAATTTCATTGGAAGCTAGTTCCACCTAACAGGGGTTTATATCAAGTTGACATACATTTAAAAGTTTCATTCACAGCTAGTTCCAGCTACGAGGAGCACTTACTACGGTGATGAACGTGCAGAAGTTTCATTCAGAGATTGTTCCAACTAGCAAGAGTTTATACCAAGTTCGTGCACTTCTAGAAGTTTCATTCAGAGCTAGCTCCAGCTACCAAGAGTACTTTCAAGTTGACTTTCATGTAGACGTTTCATTCAAAGTTTGTTCCACTAAAAATCGTTTATATCAAATTGATGTACGTATAGAAGTTTCATTCGAAGCTAGTTCTATCTAACAAGAGTGTATATCAGATTTATGGACGTGTAGAAGATTCCTTCGAATCTAGTTCAACATACCAAGGGTCTATAACAAGCTGAGATACCTGTTGAAGTTTCATGCAAGGCTACTTCCATCTAACAAGAGACCCTAATAAGTCTACGTACGTGTAGAAGTTTCATTCAGAGCTATATCCACGTAACAAGAGTACTTTTCAAATTGATTTAAGTGTAGAAGTTTCATTAAGAGCTATTTCTATTTAACAAGAGTACTTTCAAGTTGATGTATGTGCACAAGTTTCATTCAGAGGTAGTTTCAGATAAAATGAGCACTTACCACGTTGATGAACGTGTAGAAGTTTCATTAAGAGCTATTTCTATTTAACAAGAGTACTTTCAAGTTGATGTACGTGCACAAGTTTCATTTAGAGGTAGTTTCAGATAAAATGAGCACTTACCACGTTGATGAACGTGTAGAAGTTTCATCCAGAGCTTGTTCCACGGAAAAAATGTCTATATAAAGTTAATGCACGTGTAGAAGTCTCATTCGAAGCTAGTTCCCCTTAACAAGTGTCCATATGAATTTGATATACGATAGAAGTTTCATTCGATGCTAGTTCCATCCAAAAAGGGTATATATCAAGCTGACGTAAATGTAGAAGCTTCATTCGGAGCTAATTCTAGCTAAGAGGAGCACTTACTACGTTGATGAACGTGTAGAAAATACACTCAGAGTTTGTTCCACCTAAAAATGGTCTACACCAAGTTGATGTACGTGTAGAAGTTATATTTGAAGTTCGTTCCATCTAACAAGGGTGTATATCAAATTGATGTACGTTTAGAAGATTCATTCGAAGCTAGTTCCACATAACAAGGGTATATATGAAATTGATGTACGTGTAGAAGTTTCATTGGAAGCTAGTTCCATCAAACACTGGTCTATATGAAGTCGATGTACGTTTAGAAGATTCATTCAAAGCTAGTTCCAGCTAACAATGGTCTATATAAACTTGATATACTGATAGAAGTTTCATTCGAAACTAGTTCCATCTAAAAAGGTACATATCAGGTTGACGTACATGTAGAAGTTTTATTCGAAGCTATTCCCCCTAACAGTGGTCTATATCAAGTTGATAAACGTGTAGTAGCTTCATTCGATGGTAGTACTACCTAATAAGGATATATATCAAATTGATGAACGTGTAGAAATTTCATTCGAAGCTAGTTTTACCTAACTACGGTCTATATCAAGTTTATGCACGTGTATAAGTTTCATTCAGAGCTAGTTCCAGCTAACAAGAGCCCTTACTACGTTGATGAACATGTAGATGTTATATTCGAAGATCGTCTCACCTAACAAGGGTCTATATCAACTTGATATACGTATACAAGTTTTATTCGAAGATAGTTCCATCTAACAAGGGTATATATATATAAAGTTGATATACATATAGAAGTTTCATTCAGAGTTAGCTCCAGCTAAAAGGAGCACCCACTACGTTGATGAGCGTGCAAAAGTTTCATTCGAAGTTCGTTCTCTCTAACAAGGGTCTATATCAAGTTGATGTACGTGTAGAAGTTTCATTCGAAGCTAGTTCCACCTAACAAGAGACCTTAATAAGTTTACGTACGTGTAAAAGTTTCATTGAGAGATATTTCCACCTAAGAAGAGTACTTTCAAATTGATGTACGTGTAGAATTTTTATTAAGAGCTATTTCCACCTAACAAGAGTACTTTTCAAATTGATGTACGTGTAGTAGTTTCATTCAGAGCTAGTTCCAGCTAATAGAAGCCCTTACCAAGATCATATAAATGTAGAAGTTTCATTCAGAGCTAATTCCAGGCAACAAGAGCACTTACCAGGTTGACGTACGTATAGAAGACTCATTCGAAGCTGGTTCCACCTATCAAGGGTCAACCACAACTCTTTAAACATCACTGAGATACATATACTGCCATCTATTTTGTTACTGTTGTTAATTGTTAATTCCTGAATTCAGAGATCCGTTACCTTTACACTACTACTTAACCTGAAACACGAAATTAAAAAACGCCAACGGTTAACTCTTCGTAAACTCTTACATAATCTCTTCATTTTATCCTTTAGAAGTTTTATGTTTTATTTCTTTTGAAAACTCTTGAGAAAACTGCCTTTTCATCTTATTTAAATGCTAATGCACATTAAACAGTCTGAGATGAGTATACAAGATATATTCCTTCATAGTTACATGATAAATTTTCCTTTCAGATAATCAACAGAAAGGTCATGACCACAGAGATCATACGATGGGAGTAATAGGAAGTGCAGCAAACCTTGTTGGAAGAGTAAGTTGTTATCTAAAAGAAGCAATGAACCGTGGAATACAGTCAGTAGAATATAAACAACATTGTTAACAGTCACTACGTTACTGTCATAAAATACAAACATCACAGTTAATAGTTACTACGTTACTGTCACTAGAATACATATAGGACATTTAATAGCCATTACGTTACTGTCAGTATAATACCAACAGCACAGTTAATAGACACTACATTACAGTTAGTAGAACACAATCAACACAGTTAATATCCACTACGTTACTGTCAATAGAATACAAACTACAAATTTAATAGTCACTACATTACTGTCAGTAGAATACAAAGAGCGCAGTAAATAGCCACTACGTTACTATGAACAGAATACTAAGAACACAGTTAATAGCCAATACATTACAGTCAGTAGAACACTAACAACACAGTTAATATACACTACGTTACTGTTAATAGAATACAAATACCACATTTAATAGTCACTACGTTACTGTCAGTAGAATGCCAACAACATAGATAATACCCACTATGTTACTGTCAGTACAATACAAACAACACATTTATCAGCTACTACAAATACACACTTAATAGCTACTAAGTTATTGTCAGTAAAATACACACAACACAGTTAATAGCTACTGTTACTGTCCGTACAATACAAACAACACATTTAATAGTCTCTACCTTATGGTCAGCAGAGTACAAAAAACATAGTTACTAGCCACTATTTAATATCAGTAAAATTCAAACAACATAGTTAATAGCCACCTCGTTACTGTCAGTAGAATACAAACACCACAGTAATAGCCACTACATTACTATTAGTAGAGTAAAAACAGCACAGTTAATTGCCACTAAGTTATTGTCAGTAAAATACAAACTACCCAGTTAAAAGCCACTACTTTTACGTCAGTAAAATACAAACAACCTAGTTAATAGCCACTACGTTATTGTCAATAAAGTACAAACAACGCATTTAAAGTCGCTACGTTATTGTCACTAGAGTAAAAACAACACAGTTAATAGCCACTAAGTTACTGTCAGTAAAATACAAACGACATAGTTAATAGCTACTACGTTAATGTCAGTGGAATATAAACACCACAGTTAATAGCAAATACGTTATTTTCAGTACAGTACAAAAAGACAGTTAATAGCCACTACGTTAATGTCAGTAAAATACAAACAACATAGTTAATAGTCACTACGTTATTGTCAGTAGAGTACAAATACTATAGTTAATAGCTACTTCGTTAATTTCAGCAAAATACAAACAACACAGCTAATACTCCTATTTTACAGTCAGTAGAATACAAGTAAAACAGTTAATAGCCACTATTTTATTTCTAGTAGAATACCAACAGAACAGTTAATAACTATTAATTTATTGTCAGTAAAATAGAACACCATATTTAATAGCCACTAATATATTGTTAGTAAAATACAGTTAATAGTGTTACTATCAGTAGAATACAAAGAACACATTTAATAGCCATTAAGTTATTGTCAGTAAAATATAAACACCACAGTTAATGGCCACTACATTACTGTCAGTAAAATACAAACAACACATTTAGTAGCCACTACATTACTGTCAGTAGAGTAAAAACACCATATTTAACAACCACTAACTTAATGTCAGTAACAGACAAACTACAGTTAATAGTCACTACGTTATTGTCAGTAAAGTACAAACAACAGAGTTGATAACCACTAAGTTAATGTCAGTAGATTAAAAACACCATATTTGATAACCTTTAAGATATTGTCAGTAGAGTACAAAAAACCCAGTTAATAGCCACTGCGTTAATGTCAGTAGAGTAAAAACAACACATTTAATAGCCACTACGTTACTGTGAGTAAAACACAAACGACACAGTTTGTAGCTACTACGTTAATTTCAGTGGAATATAAACACCATATTTAATAGCCAGTACGTTATTTTCAATAGAGTACAAACAACACAGTTAATAAACACTACGTTATGTGAGTAGAGTACAAAAAACACGGTTAATAGCAACTGCGTTAATGTCAGTAGAGTACAAACAACACAGTTAATAGCCACTATGTTACTGTCCGTAGAATACAAACAATATAGTTAATAGTCTCTACGTTATGGTCAGTAGAGTACAAACAACATACTTAATAGCCACTACGTTAATGTCAGTAAAATACAAACAATATAGTTAATAAACACTACGTTACTGTCAGTATAATACAAACACCACAGTTAATACCACTTATTTTACTGTCAGTAGAATACAAACAACACAGTTAATACCTAATACGTTACTGTAACTAGAATACCAAGAGGACAGTTAATAACTTTTAAGTTATTGTCAGTAAAATAGAAACACCACATTTAATAGCCACTAATTTATTGTCAGTAAAATACAAGCGAAACAGTTAATAGCCACTCCGTTAATGTCAGTAGAGTAAAAATAACACAGTTAATAGACACTAAGTTACTGTCAGTAGAGGAGAAACAACGTAGTTAATATTCGCTACATTATTGTCAGTAGAGTACACATAACACAGATGATAATCAATAAGTTAATGTCAGTAGAGTAAAAACACCACACTTCATAACCACTAACTTATTGTCAGTAAAATACAAACAACACAGTTATTAGCCACTCTGTTACTGTCAGTAGAATAAAAGCAATACATTTAATAACCATTGAGTTATTGTCAGTAACAGACATATTAGTTAATAGCCACTAATTTATTGTCAATAAAATACAAACGAAACAGTTAATAGCCATTACGTCACTGTCAGTAGAATACAAACAACACATTTAATAGCCTCTTCATTACTTTCAATAGAATACAAACACCATATTTAATAACCACTAACTTATTATCAGCAACAGACGAACTATAGTTAATAATCACTACGTTATTTTCAGTAGAGTACAAAGAATATAGTTAATAACTACTACGTTACTGTAAGTAGAGTTCACAAAACACAGTTAATATCCACTAAATTACTGTCAGTAGAATACAAACACCATAGTTAATAACCACTAAGTTATTGTTAGTAGAATAGAAGCACCACATTTAATAGCTACTATATTAATGTCAGCAGAGTAAAAATAACATAATTAATATCGCTACATTATTGTCAGAAGAGTACAAACACCACAGTTGATAACTACTAAGTTAATGTCAGTAAAATACAAACACCACAGTTGATAACTACTAAGTTAATGTCAGTAAAATACAAACACCACAGTTAATAACCACTTAGTTATTGTCAGTAAAATACAAACACCACAGTCAATAGCCACTATATTGTTTTCAGAAGAATGCAAACAACCCAGTTAATAGCCACTACGTTACTGTCATTAAAATACAATTACAACACAGTTAATAGCCAGTACGTTATTCTCAGTAGAGTACAAACAACACAGCTAATAGCCACTACGTTATTTTCAGTACAGTATAAACAACCCAGTTAATGGAAGCTATGTTATTGTCAGTAGAGTATAAACACCACAATTGATAACCACTAAGTTAATGTCAATAGAGTAAAATAACAAAGTTGATAACCACTGGGTTATTGTCAGTAGAATACAACCGCCACATTTAATAGCCACTAAGTTATTGTCAATAGAATACAAACAATCCAGTTAATAACTGTCAGTAAAATACAAACAACACAGTTAATAGCCACTACGATATTTTCAGTAGAGTACAAAAACCACAGTTGATAGATTATGTAAAACATGTTACAGCCGTACAAACACCACAGTTAATAGATTCCGTAAAACATGTTACAGTAGTACAAACACCGCAGTTGACAGATTCTGTGAAACATGTTACGATAGTACAAACACCACAGTTAATAGATTCTGTGAAACATGTTACAGTAGTACAAACATCACAGTTAATAGATTCTGTGAAAGGTAACACAGTAGTACAAACACCACAGTTAATAGATTCTGTGAAAAATGTTACAGTAGTAAAAATACCACAGTTAATAGATTCTGTGAAAACTGTTACAGTAGTAAAAATACCACAGTTAATAGATTCTGAGAAACATGTTACAGAAGTACAAACACCACAGTTAATAGATTCTATAAAACGTGTTACAGTAGTGCAAACACCACAGTTAATAGATTCTGTGAAACATGTTACAGTAGTACAAACACCGTAGTTAATAGATTCTGTGAAAGGTGTTACAGTAGTACAAACACCACAGTTAATAGATTCTGCGAAACATGTTACAGTAGTACAAACACCGCAGTTGACAGATTCTGTGAAACATGTTACAGTAGTACAAACATCACAGTTAATAGATTCTGCAAAACATGTTACAGTAGTACAAACATCTTAGTTAATAGATTCTGCAAAACATGTTACAGTAGTACAAACATCACAGTTAATAGATTCTGTGAAACATGCTACAGTAGTACAAACACCACAGTTAATAGATTCTGCAAAACATGTTAGAGTAGTACAAACACCACAGTTAATAGATTCTGCGAAACATGTTACAGTAGTACAAACACCACAGTTAATAGATTCTGTGAAACATGTTACCGTAGTACAAATATCTTAGTTAATAAATTCTGTAAAACATGTTACCGTAGTACAAATATCTAAGTTAATAGATTCTGCAAAACATGTTACAGTAGTACAAACACCACAGTTAATAGATTCTGTGAAAAATGTTACAGTAGTACAAACACCGCAGTTGACAGATTCTGTGAATCATGTTACAGTAGTACAAACACCGCAGTTAATAGATTCTGTGAAACATGTTACAGTAGTACAAACACCACAGGTAATAGATTTTGCAAAACATGTTACAGTAGTACAAACACCACAGTTAATAGATTCTGTGAAACATGTTACAGTAGTACAAACACCGCAGTTAATAGATTCTGTGAAACATGTTACCGTAGTACAAATATCTTAGTTAATAAATTCTGTAAAACATGTTACCGTAGTACAAACACCGCAGTTGACAGATTCTGCAAAACATGTTACACTAGTACAAACACCACAGTTAATAGATTCTGTGAAACATGTTACAGTAGTACAAACATCACAGTTAATAGATTCTGCAAAACATGTTACAGTAGTACAAACACCACAGTTAATAGATTCTGTGAAAAATGTTACAGTAGTACAAACACCGCAGTTGACAGATTCTGTGAAACATGTTACAGTAGTACAAACACCGCAGTTGACAGATTCTGTGAAACATGTTACAGTAGTACAAACACCACAGGTAATAGATTCTGCAAAACATGTTACAGTAGTACAAACACTACAGTTAACAGATTCTGTGAAACATGTTACAGTAATACTCTCAGCGAAACTTATTTACTTATTTTCTTACACTTAATATGTATTTTTCATTGAAAGGTTAACTTGCATGATTCCTATTTTTATGGATATTTCAGCTTTTTTGATCTTCAGTATAATATTTTTTTTATTATTTCCGCCGTGAGGGTGCGCTTTCTTCTGGATTATTGTTTTATGATTAGTGACATTTAGATAGTAAAACTTAGTAGATCTGCTAATGACAGTTTTATATTAAAACTTTGTAGAAATTCCTAATGACAGTTAGATTTTAAAACTGTGTAGTAACTGCTAATGACAGTTAGATATTAAAACTTTGTAGAAACTGCTAATGACAGATTTCGATAACCAACGAGTAGAGCAGAAGTAGTATTGTATAGGAACTATATTGTATATATTCTTGCTTAATAATGAATGCTTACAAGAAACACCTGTATTGTGTGCATCTCTAATGCAATATTTCTCTCCTGATCAGGTTTTGCACGAACAAGGTCTGGGTAAGTTCTGTGATCCCGAATTCGTGAGAACCACGCAGCGAGAGTTAGCTGAAGCCATCAACCTAACCCAAGAGGAAATGGATAGAGCTGCCCACCAGATTCTGCACGCGGGGACACAACAGACATCTCCTGCTTTTGTCACCAATGTTCCAGTGTTTGATTCCTCCGGAAAAACACAGACAGTTGATGGAACTCAAACCGCTCGTCCATGCGAAGCTGGCATGGCTCTTGTTGCTAATACTCTGAGACATGCCAACAGCCGTGGGTATGACAACACGGTTTTATAACATTGGTAGTCATAGGTGGATCGTTATAATACTACTATGAAACAATTCGTTTGACAGTAAGTTTATTTTGTTCTTGTTTACGAAAGTTTTAGAAGTTCTGATGCTGAGTCTAGAGTTTGTTGATGTCCTGCAGATGGATTTTGCCCCGAAGTGTGACCTTCATTACTTTTTCTGTGTAATATTACACGAAGTAGAAACAATTCATGATAATTCCCAGTGCCTTCTTAATATAAACACACTTATTTTGTGATGATTCTTCGCAGTGTCTTCCTAATAAGTCTGTGGTGATAATTCCCAGTGCCTTTTTATCATAAATATACTTAAGGTGTGGTGATAATTCCCAGTGCCTTTTTATCATAAATATACTTAAGGTGTGGTGATAATTCCCAGTGCCTTCTTAGTATAAATATATTAAATCTTTGGTGATAATTCCAAGTGCCTTCTTAGTATAAGTATATTAAATCTTTGGTGATAATTCCCAGTGCCTTCTTAGTATAAGTACATTAAATATGTGGTGATAATTCCCAGTGCCTTCTTAGTATAAGTACATTAATCTTTGGTGATAATTCCCAGTGCCTTCTTAGTATAAGTACAATAAATCTGTGGTGATAATTCCCAGTGCCTTCTTAGTATAAGTACATTAAATCTTTGGTGATAATTCCCAGTGTCTTCTTAGTATAAGTACATTAAATATGTGGTGATAAATCCCAGTGCCTTCTTAGTATAAGTACATTAAATCTGTGGTGATCATTCCCAGTGCCTTCTTAGTATAAGTACATTAAATCTGTGGTGATAATTCCCAGT